CAATGGATACATTTTTTCTCAACTAGAAAAATGAAATAAAAAAATACTTACCCAAGCAGCTTCTGTCAGATTAAGGTTCAGCTCCTCATTGCATGAATTAATGAGAAAACAGTTTTCTTTAGGGTTAAATACACAAAGCACACATGTACAATAGTTACTAAATGAAACCAAGATAAAAGGAAGGGCTCATGTAAAAGAAAATTTTTATGAGTAAGTCTAATTACATAGCATATACTAGAATAAGCCAAAAATACAGGGGATAGGAAAGATATTATATCTGCAAGAGAAATGCTAGTGTAATACATCATTTTTGGACTTATTTGGATGCTTATATTAGGTTCATTATTAGATAGTTACCAAAGTACATTCTTCTGATGTGCATTGGAAAATTAAACAAACATTTTGCTCATGACTATTGAAAGATATAACTGCATAAATTGAGCAGTGAAAAAAAATCTAAATTTGTAAGATAATGTTATAACTTAAATTGATCGAAAACACAAGTAGAAAATATGCCATTATCAACATAAAAAATGCATCCATAAGAACCGAAAATGTGTTAGATATAGATAAACCGATGCAAACATTTTGTCAGAAAAAGGGCCATCGAAAAAAATTTACTGACGCAAATTACGTAGGAACATTCATGCAATTTTCGACGCAATTTTCTAACACAAAGGAAAATTTTTGACAAAAACACCCACGAGTTTTCGACGTATGATATTATTTACAAACGCAGCTTGCATCAATAACCAAAATTTTTATCCAATTTTTTTATTTTTTTGGCCTGTCTTCTGACGCAAGCTGCGTCAAAAATTCTAATCCAATTTTTGTCAAAAATTTCTGACGCAAAAGTTGTGTTGGAATTTCCAATGCAAAAGTTTGTGTTAGAAATTTCTAATGAAAATAATTGCGCCAAAAATTTTTGACGCAAACCTTGCGTTAGAAAATTTCAATTAAATTTTAACATATTGATGCAATGTACCATCGGTATTATTTTTTTAATATTAATTTAGCAACAGAATATCTGACAATTTTATGTCGAAAAGTCAACTTCTTTTTATTTTATTTCTGTCAATTATTTATTATTGATTATTAAATTAATACTAAAACCTTTAGTTGAAATTTTGTAGTAAAATTAATGTATATTTTTATAATATATATTATATTTTAATTTATTTAACATACCCACAAAATTAAAATTAATAATAATTATTATTTATTTTTTAGTAATTAAATATGTATTATTATTGATTATTAAAATTTTAATTAATACAAAGTTAATTAATTCAAAATTCTATGAGAATTTACATATTTTTGAAATATATATTTATTATAATTTATTTAAGATACGCACTTACATAAAATAAAAATAACACATGTATAAATATTTGGAAAAATAAAATTCAAATATTTCACTACAAATATAAAACAATGTCGCTAAAAATATAAAATAATATCTCTAAAAAAAATCATTCACAACAGTCGCCATCGCCTGACTAAGATGAAGAATTAAAATCGTGAACAGAAGTAGAAGGGCATGACTGACCGGGGTGGTGTGCCTTTCATCCTTTCAATCATCTTATACAAATTATGAATGGCAACCTCCATACTCTCCACTTCTTCTCGAAACTCCTTATTCTTTTGATAGAGATTCTGCACCTCCGATCTCATATAAGACTGATCCGCAATATTAGATGGAAGATAGTGGACTCATTAGGAAGAACTCTACCTTCCAAAACCATATATATGACCAAAGGCTCTCCCCCCAGTGCACCTCTCCTAAAACTCAGTGTCTGTCATCCGCTGAGACTCTAGAGTAGATGTCTCCTCCAATGCCGACTAGAAGGTTCGGACAGTCTTGAAGTCAGTCTGTATACACAAATATATCATAAAATTAGTTTGATAATTAAAGATATTAATTATAAAAAGTTAATAAGTAATATAAATATTTATTAAATTAAATAAAATTAACTTACATAAGTATTCTCTAACTGCTAGTCCACCCACACCTCCTCACCATCTTTACTTTTGATATGAATATGCTTAAAAATTTCAAAAAAAATGGAGAGTCTGACCGATCTCTTTTTCCTGCAATACATAATAAAAATTTTGTAATTATTTATAACTATCAGATAATAATAAATTTTTTAAACTAATAAAACTTACCATTCTCATAGCATGCTTATGTGAAGAAATAAAAACTCCTGTGTTGAGAGAACTGCCTTTTTCAGAACGGCGGTTCCCTTTATTCTGAGAGTTTATCTTATTAAATGTCTCTAATTTCCAATAATTCTAAAACTCATCTCATACAGAAGGCGTGATCCAGTCCAGTCTGCCTCTAATCTGAGCATACGGAAGCATATCAAAAAGCTTATGAGATCTACGAGTACTGAATATCTATCTAATGGTTGGCTCATCTCTTGGATCCCATGTATAGTATTTATGCATAAAGATAAAAACAAACAGCTAATAAAAAATCAATTATTATTATAGAGAATAAAATATTTCACCATAACTGCATTGGAATACAAACTCAAAACTCATCAAACCACAAATCGCGAGAAACTATCCTCCATGTGGGATAACATGATGCAAACTTCGACCAAATTGGTGTAAACTATCCTCCAGCGATGGATTACCAATAGATTGGTGTCCGTCGCTGAATCAGTGATGGATTACCAACAAAGAGTTTGTTCGTCACTGAATCAACGACGGATTACTGATAAAAGTTTTGTCCATTGTTGAATCAGTGACAAATTATCAACGGATTTGTGTCTATCGTTGATTTAGTGACAGATTTATCGATGGATTAGTAATCAGTTGGTAAATCCGCCGCTGATCCATCCCTAATCTGTTGGTAATTAGCGACGAACTATTCTGTCGCTTTTTTTCAATCACTGAAGCCCTATTTTCTTGTAGTGTAATTAAAAGAGTTGTTCTTGAATAAATTAATAAAATCAACATCTTGCTACGCAATTGCATAGACCAAAGTGTCTTAATATCTAATAAAGCATTATTTCTGAAACAAGGTTTCATCACAATTCTAAACAATCTACTAAGTTCATGCTAGAAACAAGAAAGAAGAAAGATGAATAAGAAAATAAATAAAATGTTATCGCTTGATTGTTCCTTTCTTCAGTCTTACTTCTATTCTTGATTTTCAGTATCTTAGAGACTCCTCTGCAATTAAAGTGGTTGGTTCCAAGGCTTCTTCTCCTTCCTCTGGGCTTCATGAAGATATAAATGCATACTTCCATATGTGTTGCTTATTTGGCCAACAGAAGGTCTTCTTTTATAGGTCGGCCAAAAGAAAATTTGTGGAAAATTGCAATCATTTTATGCAAAACTAACCAACAATATAGGTGTTTTCTTATGTAGCCTATGTTCCTAATGCATCAACTTTATATTTACGGCCAACCAAGGTTAATAGATTACTATCAGTGTAATTGCAAGTGGTTTTGCAGGTGACTATAAACTATATACTGGGGAATTTAGGCAAGAAATTTTCAAACACAGTTGGAGTGATTAATCTAGGCAGTGGATCTGTTCAAATGGTATACGCTATATCAAAAAGAGCAGCAGCGGAAGCTCCCTCAGGTGGAAATGATTCATATGTGAGGAAAATGCATCTCCAGGGAACAACATACTACCTATATGTGTACAGGTTTATTTCTTCTCAATGAATTGGTGACTTTAATTAGAATGATAATGCTATAGTGAAGTTATTTGGTTTGCATATTAAATTTTATTTTATTTTCGGCTTCATATTGTTTGCAAAAACATTAGCTGTATTTTAGAAGAGACTATTTATGTTTGAATCCCTGTACTATTGCGTATGTCAATTTGGCACATGCAAATATCACTATGGTCTAATCCAACTCATGATTTTGGATAGATCAGACTGGATATAGAGATAGTTAGCAACGCAGTTTGCAAAAAGTTTACTTCATTTCAATTTGATTAAAATAAAACTATGCTTGGTAGAGTTCTGAAAATACAAACGCAATTAATATGGAGTTTTTGGATTGCCTGTTTAGTTACTTGCATTATGGACTTTTAGCAGCTCGAGCTGAGATTTTGAAGACTACAAATTCTGATAACCCCTGCATATTGGCAGGATTTCAAGGTATACTCAACTTGTCCACTGTCGTAATGTTTGAAGCTTTGGTAAAAATGGCACTGAAATTCATCCTTTAAATTGTTAATATTGTTTCTAAATTATGATTCTTCTGATGAGCTACTGGATACTGCAGACATATATATTTTCAAAGCAGCTGACTTTGATGCCAATATCTAACATATAGCTGGGCTGCATATTCGTCATTATGACTTTGCTGGTTCATTTATTTGTCCACAAAGTAGTCGAAAGGTAGAACAAAATAGAAAAGGCTTGCCTTTGAAGTTTATGAAGTGAAGTTAACTTTCCTTTGGATTAACTTCTTCTATGACAAGTATTTATTAAGTTTGAAAATGGATTAAAATATGTGATTGGAAGTAATTTGGTAGCATTTTTTAAAATCTTATATATAAATTTATATCTCCAACTTGCAAAACCAGATTGAGATGAGATATCACAAATTTCATTTGATATTTTTGTTTAATTACTTCTATATTTTATGAAAGAATATAAGTAGTTGGCATGTGTGAAAACATCTTAACTATAATACTTATACATCTGCATTGCACATTCATGTTAACCTTTTCTCTCTTATTCTACACTAAGTAGGTACCATCCTCATGGTCATTTCTCGAATTTCGCCTAACTGATTTGGGTACCCGTCCACCCTAGCATCTTGATCTTTGTTGCATTTATTGTATATGGTTTATTCTTGGTATGGATTGACATCGCCAGTGTTTAAAATCTCATAATATGCTATTTTTTTGGGTAATAACTGAGTTGTTTTGTTTCAAAATCAATTCTTGTTCTATCTGAAAACATCTAGGTAGGGTTTTTGTTGTTAAGGTAACAAGTCCCTTGTATACGTTCCTCTCGGTGTATGTGGGCGCCTAGGTAAGCTGATGTTTCCTAGTTTTTGTTCACTAAGCTTCATCAAAGACTTTTGGGCTGCATGGTTTTAGATAAGAAATTTATTATATATTTTTTGCCAAACAATTGAAAAGAAATGAAGTGCACAAAACTAATGAATGGTTTCCTTTCCTCTCAAGGTCCTACATTTATGGTGGAGTTTCTTATCCAGCATTAGCTTTTGCCTCCGGTTCGAACTTAAACAAATGTGAAAGATTAGCTATCAAGGCCCTCAAAGTTGACGAACAATGTATGCATGTTAGCTGCACCTTCGGCGGTGTTTGGAGTGGTGGTGGTGGTGGAGCAGGGCAGAATAATCTTTATCTTGCTTCCTATTTCTTTGAGAGGGCAGCAGAGGTATTAGACGTCTGTATTGAAGTTTTCATTTTAGGAATCGTCAAATTTGCACTATCTCATAGCTCATGAATTTTGAATATTAATTGCTCCTCCTTGTGCATGTAGGCTGGTATTATTGACCCAAGAGTGCCTGCTGCTATTGTGCGTCCTACGGATTTTCACGATGCGGCTAAGCGAGCTTGTAAGACAAATCTTAAGGATGCCAAGCATACGTACCCACATGTCGAAGATGGTAACCTGCCTTACATCTGCATGGATTTCGTCTACCTGTTCAGGCTGCTTGTGGATGGCTTTGGTGAGTTCAGAACCACATTTAAGTCCCATATTACCTACTATTATAAAATTGGAGATTGAAATTTCATAAATGCTTAAAAGACCCGAAGGCTGCACTCATCAAATGCTCTAATTTTTACATCAGGTTGCTCCAAAAGCACAACTTAGAAAAGAATTTTTAAAATTTGTATCGGAAACAGAGGCAAGTGTTTGATTCTAAAAGCACATGGTCTAAAAATTTTAAGTTGGATTGGGCTGAGTTACTTGCAATCTGAAAAGAACTGCACGGGTCCATTGCTTCTGTGTTTTTTCCAATGTTTTATTTTATTTTATTGACAAATAGACTTTTAGGTGTCATTTTTTTTTTCAACCTCAAAACACTTGTTGAAATTAAAACATGCATTTAACACATAGTGTTTTAGGGTCAATTGAAATATCATTCTTTTAACTTGTATTTTTTAAACATATTTTTGAAATTATATTCTTGTATACATTATTTTTAGACATATTTTTAAAATTATATTTTTTTATACATTTTTTGAAATTGTATTATTAATTAGTGACATAAATAAGAGAATAAATTAAAAATTAATATAATGATTTAAGTGAATGAAATTAAGACATCTAAATCTAGATATAAAAGGTGTGTTGATGTGAGAGAAAAGTTTTTTTCCTTTTATTTTAATAAAAATGAAACAAGTGCTTTTAAAATTAAGTACAATTTAAAGTTGTGCATATACTTCATTTTATGGAGCATGTATCCTAAACTAGTTTTAGAAGCATAATTTAAAAAAATAATATTTGTAAAATTTTGGTATAAAAAATACAGATTTATATTGCAAAAGAACAATTCTTTAATGATTTACTTGATTGTCAACTTTAGACAATGATTGAGAAACCGGACTGATCCGATGACCAGAAACCGGTCATGGTCCCAGTTCTATATTATAGTTAAACTCTTTCATTTAGTGAACTGGTAATAACCAGTGCCGATCGCTAAATGATCAGAAAAATCGGCCAACTGGTTGGTAGATTGGACCGGTTCACACACACACACACACACACACACTCTCTCTCTCTCTCTCTCTCTCTCTCTCTCTCTCTCTCTCACGCACACATGTATATTATTTTTTCTAAGAAAAAGGGGCTCTGTTATTATTTTTGAAAGTTATTGACTTTGCTCGCCAGCGGCCGCAAATCTTCGTTAATAACTCAGTTCATCAGGAAGTCGGGGGTAGCAGCCTAGCGGCCATCCTTGTTTCGCTCCAGTATGACCGATAAGCTTCGGTATTTTTTTAAACGGGTCACTCGTTTGCTCTCTAGTTACTTGCACGGAGACTAGAAAATTTAATTGGGTCATTCTTTCCTTTGGGTTTGGGGTTTTTCTCTCTTCTTTTACTATCTCCTTCTTCGAGATGCAGATGAAGGTACGTGGATTACATTGTAGTTTCAATATGGGGCTTTGGGTTTGAAGCTTTTTTCTCTTCCTGCAAACTGCAGCCAATCTACATATTTACAAAATAACCAGATGCCAAATGGTGTATGTCATCAAGTAGGGGGTATTTTAAGAAATTCACCAAAAAATCCTAAGAAAATCCTTTCGTACCAAACTTTAATAGGTAAAAATTTTCTTATACTAAACATACACTGTTGGGTCTTTTTTGTACATATTTTGCACTCAAGATTTTAATTTGAAGAAATTTCCGCTGATTCATAAATACTGAGTAAATTTTTGTTTTTTAATTTTTTTATTTTTAATATTATTTATAATATTAAATATAATTATGATTATCAGTTAAGGTAATGATTAAACTGGTTAAACTGATTAAATCAATAACCAATAAGACTACATGTGGTATCACCGGTTTAGTTTCATAAACATTGACTTTAGGCCAGATTTATTTTAGCTAAACTAGGCCTAAAGGCAGTTTAGTTTCATAAACATTGACTTTAGGCTAGATTTATTTTAGCTAAACTAGGCCTAAAGGCAGTGTGCTTAGGTCAATTCTGTCAAACCCACCCCAGTAGTTTAAAAAATTAATAATAAAAATCACAAAATGCAATTGAAGGGTTATAAGAAGAAATATATATAAACAACTAGGTAAATATTTTATTTATAATCTAATTTCATCATTTCTATATAAAACAAATAATTACATCTATTTTTTTTTATAAATCTATTTTTCTCAAACTCATTTTATCCAAACTCACTTTACTTGGAACTTATTTCTTATTAAACGCGGCTTAATTATTAAGCCTTTCTGTTGTTGTTTTGTTTTGTTTGGAGTGAGGACTAGTTTTGAATCGTGTTGATACTGAATCCTCCTATTTTTGGTTTTGGACAGGACTGGATCCCCGGCAAGAGATTGCAGTGGTGGAAAAATTACATTACAACAGTTCCTTAATTGAAGTGGGAAGGCCATTAGGCAGTGCAATTGATGCTGTTTCATCCGCGGCACAAGCTTCGTTTTAAGCATGGTTGTCTAACTACGTTGCTACGTTGTCAATGATAAAGTTACTAAAACTCCCCAAGGATCCTTTTACAACTGCTAAATTGTTATCCTTGTTTAATGAATCAATGTTGGCCGAGAATTTGTTTGATGATAATGCAATCCATTATGCAACAAATTAATTCTATTAATAATAATGCTTTTGTTCCATATTATTTTAAGCAAAAATCTTTGTCAATGACCTTGTAATATACCTATTTTCTTTAAATATATATATTGCAAATTAATTGAGTTAATGTTGTTCTAGTTAATTTCTTACTTAATATTTTATTTAAACTAGATTTATTTGAATAATTAAAATGAGTTTTATAATTAAAAATGTTTAGTTAATTAATTTATTAAAATTTTAAACAGTGGGAAATGAGAGAATATTGAACAAAAAGACTAAAGGCATAGTTGTCCTTTTAAAATTTAGGCAAGAACAGTTCTACCATTTTAATACATGCACGTGGACACAGCAGGAATTTTGTTTAAATATCCAGGACAAAGCAGTAATGTCAACGGCAGACACTTTTAAATAAGAGGCACAGTCGTCTTTTCGATTTTGTTCAAGGGCAAAGTCACAATTTTACTACAGGGAATCTTTTGAAATTCAGATTAAATAAATAAATAAGGGTTAAAGACAGGGACAGAATGGGGCCTTTCATATCAACATTTTAGTTTTTAATTGATCAAATTATTTATAGTTTGAATTTTTTAGGAAGATATTCAAAATCAACTATTTATGAAAGTCGGTTATACCTATTATCAGGTTAGCAAAAGTTTAAAATTTTTTATTGAAAACAATTTGGAGACCGGCTTTTTTTTCTCCTAGAAATAGAAAGAGTAAATCTCAACTAGTTCTTGGTTTCTTATCAAAATGTCATATTTTGATTTGAGTTTTTCCTTTCACGCACCCCTATTCACCTGCAGTGCTCTATATCATGCATCTTACTGGCCTCATGCGCTCCCATGCGCGTGTGGTCCTTCATGCACGTTGGCCTTCCTCTACGTGTATCAATTGCTCCTTCTTCCTCACTCTAGTTCAATCACCAATTGGACCAGCAAGAACCCAACACGTTGACACCAATCCCCACAATTAGATCAAGCGCATCTCAGGCTCCTCTATTTGCCAAATTTTGCTTGACGTTGGGACAGCTACTTCACAAAATTGCTCCTTTGTTCCGTTGGTACGGATTGATTGGAGACTCCGGGTCCGCACACTGAACACACACCCACACACACATATGGCAAGAGATAAAGAGAATCAAAGAAGAAGAAAGACACCCACAATCTACGGGAGAATCACTTCTAAACTTGTTTATTATCAACAATACAACAAAGACATCTCTGTCGACAATCTCTCACCCTCACCCACTCTTTTCATCTCTTATATGGATGAGTCCTCCGCATCTAAACTCTCTTCTTGGGTTTGACTAAATTCCACATTGAACAAAAGGGGCTTTTGACCCTGACTTATAGCCCTCACCAATCCCCTTAATTCTTTCTAGCTTTGGATGACATTCCCATCCAGTAGAATCAATCCTACCTAATCTGCTTTAGATTTGGCTAATTTGTGCCATTCAGGCCATCAAAGCTTGTCTCTTTGGGTCTATCCAATCTAGGAGCTTCGAACCACTTTGAGAAACTCAATTTCTCCTCCGATCGAGCTTATCCCTTTTGGGATCTTCAATTGCTTTTGAGTTCTTTAGCGCTGAGTTTTCCTCCTAGATCTTCTCACACCCAAGCCCCAATTAGCTCACTGGACCATTGCTCAACCTCTTTCTTGCACTACTGGTGTTGTCTAGTCTAGCTAGTATTGTCGCCTTCCTAGCCCATTGAACAAAAGCTTCTCAAGATGCTTCTATTGCTCTCCCATGACACCTAACCTAATTTGCAACCCAATCTCTCAACTGCTCGATCTGCCTTTGTTTTCCTCTCTAGACTTGACCCAACTACCCCTTGGATCAACTCGCTTGAGCTCGGCCCATCTATTCAACCCAGCCCTAGCACTTCGGCTCGATCCATTACAGCTTTAACTAATTGGCTTGGGCTCCTATTTGGGCCCACTCCTAAGCCCAGCCTAATTGCTTTGCATTGGTCCACCAAGGCCAATCTACCTGTGACATGCTGAACCTAAAAACCAACAATAAATAAAATAAAATAATAAAATAATAAACAATAATATAATAATTGGTGAAGCATGCAAGTAGGGAGGGAACTTCCTTAATATATGACATTAGCATGAAGTCTAAAGACTAAATAAGGGATTAGTAAATTAAATAGAAAAAAGAGCATAATTGAGAAAATTAGATCAAATGGGGCACGAATTCAGAATTTCAAGGACCTAATTGAATGAAATCAAGGAAATTGAAGGTTAATTAAAGAAAATCAAGGACCTAATTGAATGAAATGAAGGAAACTAGGAGTTAATTGAAAGAGATCATGGGTGTAATTGAATAAATTAAATGAAAAAGGCATAATTTAGAAATCTCAAGGGTCCAATTGGAGAAATTAGATCAACTATGACTTAATTAAAAGACTATAGGGACTAAATTGAAAGAGACTAGAGAGGGAGGATCAAAAGGAAAGGCGTTGGAAGTTTGGACTTCAAAAGCCTAGGGCCTAATTGAGAGAAAGTAAACTTGGGTGGACTAAATTGAGATGTAACACCCAAAA